TCCTACAGTGATCTCTTTTAAAGATCTTAAACAGAGGGGCCGTTCGGCAACTTGCCGCTGCATGAAGGTTCAAAAGGCCATCCTTATGAAATACCCATTCCTTCAATTTGGACTTTTGATTAGTGTATCTGTATCTACGATGACGCAGCAGCAGCAGAACTGGAAGAAGCAGCAGCAGACAGCCAGTTTCACTGCAGGCCTGATAGAAGCCCTCCGAGGGCCTGATCTGGCCCCCAAGCCGCATGTTTGACACCCCTGCCTTAAAGACGTCGGCTGTGGTCACACACACTAAATAATCCACTTTCAATGCACTTTCCAACTGGATTGTGTCAGTTCACACAGTAAAATCCGGTTTGGAAGGTGCACAGAAATTGGATAGAAAGTGGATTTCTTACTGTGTGTGACCGCAGCCTAACAAAATTTGAGGCAGGGTTTAAGTTTTTGTGAGTTGCTGCTCATTTCTTCACATATCTGAAGAAGTGAGCCGTGACTCACGAAAGCTCCTCCCCTGCCACAAATGTTGTTAGTCTTTAAGGTGTTGCCGGACTCTGGCTCTTTTCTCCTGCTACAGACAGATTAACAGACAGGCTACCCATCTTGATCTGTCTATGGAACTGCAAAATTTATTTGCAGCCGATACGAACCAGCTCTGTGCCACTAAAGTGGTTTGGTGTGGATTGATCTGGCTAACGCACGTTTCTCCAAAGTGGAAATGTCAGAAGGACAGGGGTTTGTTCCTTCTGCCAAAATAGCATTATGAGGGTTGTATGTTGAGCATTCGGAGCATTTGATGTACATTAACTTACAGTAGCCCGATGTTGTCACCAATGCGGCTGTGTAAGTGGAACCCCATTTCAGCAATTTCAACAGTCCACAAGGTTCATAGTGTAAGAAGCGAATCATAGCCGGCAAACTGAAGAAGTCGAAGGAAACGCGTCTCCCAAGTATCTAGAACGGGCGTCTTTGCAAAGGCTGTTTGGAAAATGTTATGACTATGTGGACTCTGTTAGAGAATGAGATTGATATTTTGCTTTATGGACTATATTTATTGCTACACACAATGGACTGTGCGCACACACACACACAGAGGCTCCGAAGACTGTACACTATTAAGTCACCTGTTGTGATACTACACATAGAAGGCGCCTGCACAAGCCTTACACGTGAATAAGGTTTCAGCTACACAGTTCCATGCGCCTTGGTGTTTAGTCATGCCGGCCACATGACCACGGAAATGTCTTCGGACAGCGCTGGCTCTTCGGCTTTGAAACGGAGATGAGCACCGCAACCCTAGAGTCGGATTCGACTGGCTTTCGAGCAAGGGAAACCTTTATTTTTACCTTTTACACAGTTCCCAGCCTGGGAAAGCAGCACAAACCTCCATTATTGTGAGCAATGAGAAACAACAGCTTGAGAAGAGAGAGCCCCCATTGCAGAATTAGTTGTAGTCACGTACTACCCATCACTGCTTTGTTCCTGAGAAGGCATTTCCTGCCAAATGGACATTTGGTTTACAATGGAATAGCCAGCTTAAGAACATAAGAGATGCCAATGTTGGATCAGGCCAGAGGCCCATCCAGTCCAACACTCTGCATCACACAGTGGCCAGAAATACCAGGTGCCATCAGGAGGTCCACCAGTGGGGCCAGGACATTAGAAGCCCTCCCACTGTTGACCCCCCCCCCCAAGCACCAAGATGACAGAGCATCACTTGCCCCAGAGCCCCTATCTATACTTTGTGGCTAATAGCCACTGATCGACCTCTGCTCTATACGCTTATCCAGTTCCCTTTTGAAGCCGTCCATGCTTGTAGCCGCCACCACTTCCTGTGGCAGTGAATTCCGTGTGTTCATCACTCTTTGGGTGAAGGAGGACTTCCTTTTATCCGTTCTAACCTGACCGCTCAGCAATTTCATGGAGTGCCCACGAGTTCTTGTATTGTGAGAAAGGGAGAAAAGTACCTCTTTCTCTACCTGCTCTTTCCCATGCATAATCTTATAAACCTCGATCATGTCACCCCTCAGTCATCACCCCTCAGCTTCATCAACACCACAATGGAGCATCCTGACGCCAAGGTTTTCTCACCTGCCCAGATGCCCTCCTTTGAGTAAGGTATTAGATTTCAATATTGGCCACTCCTGTTAGGTAACCACCCCTCCCTCCATACAACCAATAGGATTGTTTTTGGGACGGACTAACAGGTAGGTGGGTCAAGAGGTTGGCACAGCCACAACCCATCTCTTGAACTCCCTATAAAAGGAAAGGACCATTCACCTGGCCCTTGCTAGCTAGCAACGCCCACAACAACCCCTATCTGCTTTTTACTCCCCTTGAGTCCCACTTGCTATCCCCAACCCGTGCCTCTACTTTGATCTCTTGATCTGCAGTCAAGAGACCCCCGCACAGTCCAGCTAGTTCTGGTAGGGTGGATCCCTTTAATTTCTATTTCTTCCCATACATTCTTCATTGGAACAACCGAACTGCGGGACAGATAAGTATTGCCCATCATCACCCCTACCTGCCAATGCAACAGTGCTTATTTTAATACTGTATTTCTAAGGAACCTGTTTGAATGTGTGAGTGCATCAGTATTGTTTGTATGAGATATATTTTTAAGTAAAAGACATCTATTTTAAGTAAAAGACATCTATTATAGTGGTTAAGTGTGCGGACTCTAATCTGGGAGAACCGGGTTTGATTCCCCATTCCTCCATTTGCACCTGCTGATGTGACCTTGGGTCAGTCACAAGCTCTGGCACAGCTGTCCTTGAAAAAGAGTCCTTTGCGTCAGAGTTCTCTCAGCCCCACCTGCCTCACAGGGTGTCTGTTGTGGGGAGGGGGAGGGAAAGGAGATTGTAAGCCGCTCTGAGACTCCAAGTGAAGGGTGGGGTATAAATCCAATCTCTTCTCTTCTTCTTCTATTTTAACCACAACAGCCTCGAAATCTTTTACTGGTAACCCTTGGTGGGAACAGGACCTTGGTATAAGTTGGCAAGAACCCATTTATAAATTGCCAATTGCTGTAAATAAAGCAATTCGGCTAACAACTCCTCCTATCGAGTTACACTAACGCCATGGACTTTATGTCTTCTCTACAAAGGAGATATCGTATCTCATGCCTTTTTATAGTTACAGTATGGACTAATGTTGCTGTTGTGACACCACCAACTTTATAATTGTTTAATACGTTGTTTGGCAATCTTTGATGGTGTTTTCTACTAGTATATAAGCTATTTATTGGCAACTGAGGAGCAAAATCCAACACTCGTCATGCAGCTGCAGAAATGTATCTGCATAGAGAGGAACACATTACGGGTAAAAAGCAAGACCCCTTGAAGGCCACGACTCCAGTCCGACGCACCCCTGTTTGGAAGCAAGGTCCACCGGAACAAAACGGGACAACTTCCTTCTGAGTCAGCATGTTCCACTTGGCTCTGCCTCTTGAGGCAGCCATTTTGCATTGGGCCCCGCCTCCTGTGGCAGCCATTTTGGCATGGTGCTCACCAGGATTCCAAAAGTGCCCACAGGCCCAATAAAGGTTGGGGACCTCTGATAGATAGACCCTTCCCTGGTTAAGTGTGTCATTTCCAATGCTCTTTGCATTCCAAGGCAGATGTTTCAGAAAAGGAGCCTTCACAGAATCACAGTTGGAAGGGATCTCCAGGGTCATCTAGTCCAACCCCCCGCACAACGCAAGAAACTCACAAATACCTCCCCTTCCACACCCGTAGTGACCGCTGTTCCACGCCCAGAAGAGGATAAAAAACCCTCCAGGAGCCCTGGCCAAACTGGCCTGCAGGAAAATTGCTTCCTGACCCCAAAGTGGCGATCGGCATTTCCCTGGGAGTGTAAGAAAGGGCCACGAGAACTAAGCACGAAGGCGACCATGCCTGCCCTCCCTCCCTCTCAATGCTCAGTTGCTTGCTTAGGCCCACCCACCCCCTTTGCCAGTCACACTTCAGGAGTGGCTATAACTGTGGTTGCAAACAGTGCTCCCTGTAAGCTGCGGGGCCTTGTAAGCAAAAATTCTACTCTGTGAGCTACCGGCATTAAAGTTGTGAGCAAGCGATTTGCCTGCTCCATAAGTTAGTTTGCTCTGGAGCCCTCCTTCCTTAGCGGAGACAAAAATGTGTGAGCCGGAGGCTAAAAAACTGTGCGCTAGCTCACACCAACTCAGCTTAGAGGGAACACTGGTTGCAAAGTACCTGTTGAGCAGACACAGGGACCGGCTTCTCTCTCAGGCTGGGGGGGTGGGGGTGGGAAATCCACTGCCAGTCATCCCTGGGACATTTATTTTATTATTTATTTCAAAAACATGCATCTCGCTTCACCAGCCAAAAACTTCTATACAATATTAAGAAACATTGTAATGAAACAAGATGGGTATTAAATTTATTTACTTCCTCCACTGATTAACATAAAGGGGCGGGAGGGGCGGCCCCGTGGTCCGAGTCCAGAGACGGCCGCTTCACAGCTACATTGGCTAAAGCGAAGCAGGGAGCTCATGGCAAAGACAGGATTTGAACTAGGGTCCTCCCTGGTCACAGCCCGTTCTTCCAGCTGCCCTGTTCACAGGAGACGTTTGTGCGCATTGGCCAGACCGGCCGTGCGTCGCTACTTTCTGAAACAAACCCAGCGGCTCTTTCCCCGCGACACAATGGGGGGGGTGTTGGGAATCAAAACTGATTTGGCATAGTCTCCAGCTACAGAGCCGCGACACACAGCAGAGATGTGGGTACACTGCCCGCCCCATTTAGGACAAGATGCCTTGGGTCTCGGAACGACGATTCTGATGCAGTCCCGCAAGTCTGCGACGAAAAAAAACTCCCCCAAACAGATGCATCCCCCCCCAAATCCAGGAGAAGTCCGAAGCTTTCCAACGATTCCTTCCAAGGTAGGCCTCAGGATTCGGTCACACGCGATTCAGTCTCTCCTTCCAAGTCCCAGTTTCAGGGCTGGAGACACCCCGAGACTTTCAGCGGCGAACAGAGCCGGGTATCCTAGATATTAGGGAACCGGTAGTTCTGCTTCTTCGTGCCGCAATAATACTTCTTGTTATCCAGAGTGGGCAAAATGTTGCTGCTGGTCAGCTGGGGAAGGTACTGTAACTGAAGAGAGCGAGAGAGAACAATCTGTTTGTAGAATACGTACGGTGTCTTAGCAAATAATGCCAGTCTGGTGTAGTGGTTAAATGCGCGGACTCTAATCTGGGAGAACCGGGTTTGATTCCCCACTCCTCCACATGCAGCTGCTGGATGACTTTGGGCAAGCCCTAGTTCTGATAAGAGCTGTTCTTGAAAAAGAGCAGTTTGTGTCAGAGCTCTCTCAGCCCCACCTACCTCAAAAGGTGTCTGTTGTGGGGAAGGGGAGGGAAAGGAGTTTGTAAGCCACTCTGAGACTCTGAGTGAAGGGCGGGGTATACATTCAATCTCCTCCTCCTCCTCCTCCTCCAAATTATTCAGGAAACTGTAGGCAGGGCTGGGTCTAGTTTTTGGGGGCTTCGTGCCAAGTATGGAACAACGTGAGAGCAAGAAGCACCCGGCATGTGGGTCGGGTGCCAACAGCAGCCACAGCCAACCAGCTAAGCTGAGGCAGATAATCATTTCGCTGTCATCCAACTCGCTGCTCTCCCTAAACCCACGGGTCCCCAACACGGTGCCCGGGGCCCCCTCAGCACCCGCCAGCACCTTGTCTGGCACCCACCAAGTGTTTTCAGGAAGAGGGGGGGACCAGGTAGGGCTTTTGCTTGTTCAGAAAAAGAAAAGGGAAAACACGAGAGGCACATTCTGCCGGGTTCCTCGGCCAGCCTGAAAACGGTGCAGTTTTACAGACATCGTTTTTAAAAGTAGCAAAATAAACTAGTTCTCTGTGACCCATGTGCTTTCAGTGTTTCAGCTAACCAGTGCCAAAAGCTGGTGCTGCGTAATTCTAAAAACCATTCTGTTAACGTTTAATTCACGGGACAGGGCTGCGACTCAGCGGCGCTGCTTTGTGTGCAGGAGGTGCCGGGTTCGAACCCCAGCCTCTCCAGTTAAAATTTATTAGTTACACTCATATCCCACCCTTCTCCCCTTACACCACTCTCCTCTATTCCATCACGCAGTAGGTGAGGGGCCATGGCTCAGCGGTAGAGCATCGGCTTTCCATGCAGAAGGTCCCAGGTTCGCTCCCCGGCACCTGCAGTTTGGTGTCGTGGTTAAGTGCGAGGACTCTAATCTGGGAGAACCAGGTTTGATTCCCCACTCCTCCACTTGCAGCTGCTGGATGACCTTGGGAAAGCCGTAGTTCTGTCAGAGCTGTTCTTGAAAAAGAGCAGTTTCTGTCAAGAGTTCTCTCAGCCCCACCTACCTCACAGGGTGTCTGTTGTGGGGAGGGGAAGGGAAAGGAGTTTGTAAGCCGCTCTGAGACTCCCTTGGGTCGTGAAGGGCAGGTATAAATCCAATCTCCTCCTCCTCCTCCTCCTCCTCTTCTTCTTCTTCTTCGCCGGTTAAAAAGGACCAGGCAGTAGATGATTCGAAAGACCCCTGCCTGAGACCCTGGAGAACCACTGCCAGTCTGAATGGATAATACTGACCCTGATGGACCCAAGGTCTGATTTCATAGAATCACAGAATCACAAAGCTGGAAGGGACCTCCAGGGTCATCTACTCCAACCCCCTGCACAATGCAGGGAATTCACACATACCTCCCCCATCCCCACCCCCACTGACTGCTGATCCACGCCCAGAAGATGACAAAAACCCTCCAGGATCTCCAGCCAAACTGGCCTGGAGCAAAAATGGCTTCCTGAACCCCAAAGTGGTGATCAGCATTTCCCTGGGTGTGTGAGAAAGGGCCACGAGAACTAAGCACTGAGGCAACCCTTCCTGCTCTACCTCTCCTGATCTGCCCAAGCTCACCGAATCAGCATTGCTGTCAGATGGCCGTCTAGCCTCTGCTTGGAAACCTCCAAAGGAGAGCCCACCACCTCCCGAGGAAGCCTGTTCCACTGAGGAACCGCTCTAACTAGGGGTCATTTTGTAGAAAAAGAGGTGCAGGAGCTCATTAGCATAACTCATTAGCATATGCCACACCCCCTGATATCACCGGAAGTGTGTCAGAAGGCAACACCCACCACTCAGGCTCCACTAGACTGTTCTGGATTGCTAGCTATTGGGGGAGGGGGGACGTGCAGATCTGTCCTCGCAGAGGAGGGAGAGCTGGTACCTGAATACAACTTGGTTTAAAGGTGCCACTGGACTGTTTTGGACTGGGGCCCCTGGGGGGGGGGCTCTGCAACTTACCTGGCTGCTTCTTGCTCTGACTGAGGGCTGCTGGGAGCAGGGGGTGGGGCTTGTTGCATGTGCCCGCCCCCTGGGCTCTCCTGTGCGCTCCTGCAGGAAATGATCCCTGGCTCTAACTGTCAGGAAGTTCTTCAGTGTAAGGCAGCTTCGTATATGTTTCGGAAGGGCCTGTAGCTTAGAGGCACAGGCAGAGCCTCTGCTTGGCATGCAGAACATCCCAGGTTCAATCCCCGGCATCTCCGGTTAAAGGACTAGACAGCAGGTGACGTGAAAGACCTCCGCCTGAGACCCTGGAGAGCTGTGAAGAGGGGCTGTGGCTCAGTGGAAGAGCCTCTGCTTAGCATGCAGAACATCCCAGGTTCAATTCCCGGCATCTCCAGTTAAAGGACCAGGCAGGAGGTGATGGGAAAGACCTCCGCCTGAGACCCCGGAGAGCCACTGCCTGTCTGAGCAGACAATACAGACCCTGATGGATCAAGGCCCTGATTCAGCATACGGTCACATGCAATGCCTCTGCCAGAGTCCCTGAAAAACCACTGCCACTCAATACCGGCCTTTGTAGCCAATGGAAGGCAGCTCCATGTGTGCAAAGCCAATATACAGGCTACCTGTATCGACATTCCTTGCTTCTTCACAGTTGCGTCCTTCCCCCAGGTTGCTCTGAGCTCTCATCAGCGAGAAAACGTCTGGTTCTGGGCCTCTTTGCAGGCAACACAAGCAGGGTGTGCCAACAGTGTGGGGGGTGGGGGAAGAATCAAAAGTCTGGTGGGCCCACAGAGAAGGCGCTACCGGCCTCATGTGGGTACAAACCACCATCAAGAAACAGGAAACCAGGAGCGGACTGGGACATGAAAACAGTTCCAGAGTATCTGAAGAAGTGAGCAGTGACTTTAAGGCGCGATTGGACTGGAAGCACATTGGCAGATCTATACGGAGGCCCTACAATGTCAGCTGCTTTATTCTCAATCCCTTTCCTAATAATCCCGAACATGGAGTTTGTTTTTTCCCCCACTGCGCCACACTTGGGTTGACATTTCATTGAGCTCCCCACTACGACCCCAAGATCACAAGCTAAACATGAGCCTGCAGTGTGATGTGGCTGCGAAGAAAGCGAATGCAATCTTAGGATGCATTAACAGAAGCATTGTCTGTTTCCAGTTTTGGGCACCACATTTTAGGAAGGATGTTGACAAGCTCGAGCGTGTCCAGAAGAGGGCGACCAGGATGGTGAGAGGGTTGGAATCCAAGTCTTACAAGGAAAGGCCGAAAGAGTTGGGTCTGTCTAGCCTGGGAAAGAGAAGGCTTAGAGGGGACATGATTGCAGTCTTCAAGTATCTGAAGGGCTGTCATGTAGAAGAGGGAGCAGATCTATTCTCTCTTGCTCCGGATTGCAAGACTAGATCTAATGGGTGGAAATTACAAGGGAGTCGTTACCGGCTAAATATCAGGAGAAACTTCCTAACGGTAAGAGTGGTTGAGCAGTGGAACAGTCTGCCTCGGGAGGTGGTGGAGGCTCCTTCGCTGGAAGTTTTCAAGCGGAGGCTGGACGACCATCTTTCGGGTATGTTGTAGGGCTCTCTTTCGGCTGTGCTCCTGCAGAGTGCAGGGGGGTGGACTAGATGACCTGCAAGGTCCCTTCCAACTCTACCATTCTATGATTCTATTAACTCCCCCCCCCCAAATTTCAGGAAGTTCAGACCCCATTCGCCTAGACTTGAAGTTGGGATTTTTATCCCAATGCGATGAGGTGGTCCAAGCCGAACGCTCCCAGAGGCTGGACACTGCTAGCTCCTGACCCCCGGCAGCCCTCAAAGGCAGTGGCCCACCGGGAAATTCCCCTGCAAATCCCATGGCCAGCCTGTCTCTGCGGGAAGCCTGGGATCTCCAATTCTACGCTCAGCCGAGCAGGCCCTGAAGTCTGAGCCGAGCTCTGTGAGGTGCGTGCAGCAGCCAAGTCCACACCAGGGTGTGAAACTTCGGGACATCTTCCTTACCCCGGGAACGTGCTTCCGAGTCGGGCGGCCTGGCTTCCGGGTCATGGATTTCTCACGCTCCCTCCCGGGTTCTACGTCTCGGATGCTGTCGAAGTAAGAGTGCTGCAGCAGCTGCTCGCAGGTCAGGCGCTCGGCGGGGTCCATGTGGAGGCAGCCCTGAGGGGAGGCGGGGAGAGAGATCAGGGCAGGCACAGGTACGCCACGTCCTATGTGCGGATTCCGGCCAGGCGGAGGGGCTTCCTAGTTGCTGCCAGCAGGCTGGACGATAAGAACTGTCCTGTGCATTGGCCTCACTTGCAAATTGTCCTTTCTCACTGAGACCCACGGTGGGGAAGGGGCTGTGGCTCAGTGGCAGAACCTCTGCTTTGCATGCAGAAGGTCCCCGGTTCAATCCCCGGCATCTTCAGTTAAAAGCACCAGGTAGCAGGTGATGTGAAAGACCTCCCCCTGAGACCCTGGAGAGCTGTAAAGAGGGGCTGTGGCTCAGGGGCAGAGCCTCTGTTTGGTGTGCAGAAGGTCCCAGGTTCAATCCCCGGCATCTCCAGTTAAAAGGACCAGGCAGGAGGTGACGTGAAAGATCTCTGCCGGAGACCCTGGAGAGGTGTAAAGAGGGGCTGTGGCTCAGTGGAAGAGCCTCTGCTTGGCATGCAGAAGGTCCCAGGTTCAATCCCTGGCATCTCCAGTTGAAAGGACCAGGCAGGAGGTGAGGGGAAGGACCTCTGCCTGAGACTCTGGAGAGCTGTAAAGAGGGGCTGTGGCTCAGTGGAGGAGTCTCTGCTTGGCATGCAGGAGGTCCCAGGTTCAATCCCCGGCATCTCCAGTTAAAGCACCAGGTAGTAGGTGATGGGAAAGACCTCCACCTGAGACCCTGGAGAGCTGTAAAGAGGGGCTGTGGCTCAGTGGCAGAGCCTCTGCTTGGCATGCAGAAGGTCCCAGGTTCAAGCCCCGGCATCTCCGGTTAAAGCACCAGGTAGCAGGTGATGGGAAAGACCTCAGCCTGAGACCCTGGAGAGCTGTAAAGAGGGGCTGTGGCTCAGTGGCAGAGCATTTGATCAGCATGCAGAAGGTCCCAGGTTCAATCCCCGGCATCTCCAGCTAAAAGGACCAGGTAGCAGGTGATGGGAAAGACCTCTGTCCAAGGAGGGTGGTGAGGGACAACTGGCTGCATTCTGACACCGCAGCCCGTGATTAAACACCTCTAACCATAACAGACACAGAAAACTCAAAAGCAGCAGGAGTCATTTGAGTTCTCTCCATACACAATTCACCCCCGTTTCTTATTAAGGCGGTGGAACCAGATCATCGGGAGTTGGCAAATGGTTAACTTAGCGGGAACAACCGGAATCGAATTTGGCACGAAACAGCAGAGCCCTCAGTGGCCCTTTAATGGAGCACTAGATTGAAAGAATTTGGAATAAGGTTTAACATGGTTAACCTTTACAGACTGAAGCAGGACTCTGGAGGAAAAGCAGAACAGGAATACAGTAAAGAGAGAGATCTAAAACTTTTTCGACTAGTATTTTGGAATGTGTTTTTTAATCAAAACGTCTGAAGCAAATGTATATTTGTAATCAAGGAGATATGATGCGATATGTGAGACCATAATGACTGTATGTGTTGGCACTTCCGCCAGCAATGGAAAAAGCCAGCTTTCTGTCTAACCTGAAACACTGTTTGGCTTAGATCTAAGATAATATCTGAAGTTACTTTCAGAACACTGATTTAAAATCTGCCTGTAAAGATATGTATTTATTATACGATTGTTGCGCCTTAAGAGACGTTTTGTAGTATGTAATACAGTTCTTTGGCATCTTCAGTCTGGATACAGTTAAGCATTAATGTCTTTCCTAACCTATTTTTGTACTTCGTCTGCAGACATCTATTGTACTTACCTTGTATTGTTATTAAATTCCTAAACAGAAATGATACATTAAATGTCTGAAGCCTTCTTGTTTTAATGCCCACGGCGATACTGGTTCTTGGGCTGATTTGATGAACCAGAATAATTTAGGGGAGAGATCAGGATCCAGCGGTGGAACATCTGCTCGGCATGCGGAACGGCTGCCAGTGTGGGCAGACAATACTGACCCCGCTGGACTGACAGCCTCATTCCGTATAAGGCACCTCCGTATGTCCATGTATTCAATTTCAACACAAATATGAGAATCACACTCTAAGGGCGGCTTTGCTCACCTTCATGAGTCCCAGGGCAGAGTAGGAAATGGTTGGGAACTTCATTTCTAGAGGCTCCTGAGGAATGAAAACATTGGCGTAGTTTAGTTCATTTTAGGGCAACCCAAACACAGGGCGATAATGGAATTAAGACGTGTTTCTAGAAGCAGAGCTACCCAGCACGGAACCAGAGAGCGAAAGGGCCGATCTGGACCTTCCAGTGTTGCGGTTTTCCTCGGTTTGGATCCTGAGTCTGGTGGCCTGCAGCTTTCCGTCTGGTTTCCGGTAACACTACTCCCCCCACAACCCAAATATCCCTTTGGGGTCCCAGCTCTCCCAACTACCCACGACTTCATATCTCCGGACAGAGAGCCCGTGGTCGGTGTTTACAACAAACCGCAGGCACCGTGCGAATTCCGACACAGCGTGGTGGGCGCAGCCAGAAAATGGCTGCCACAAAATGGCTGCTGAGGAGGCAGAGGCAGCCAGAAAATGGCCACCGCTGCTTCCCTTCAGGCAGACAGTAAAGATCCCTGTGCTCGGGGCTCTTTTTCCCGGGGGAACGTGCCGGAACAGAGTTCTGGAACCTCTTTGACAAAATTCGTTTAAAAACGTTTAAAAATTCATGCGTTTTCAGTATACAGATTGAAAATGCCACTTCCCTCTTGAGAGTTCTGGCACCTCTTTCCCCCCAAGAAAGCCCTGCTTGTGCTGGAGCGGCAGCTGCAGCCAACACAATGTCTTTAAAAATCTGCACAGCCAATCAAACCTCCAATGGCCAATCAGAAGGCTTGCTGGGCAAAAGCCTTACCTGGCCCCGCCCACTTTCTAAAACAGTAGGCAGGCCCCAGGAATGGTGCCAGCTGGTGCCGTGGTTCCCATGGGCACCGTATTGGGGGGCCCTGGTTTACAAGATGGGGCAGTCTAGGCGAGGCTAGGCTTGGCGGGGGGGGGGGGCTCACCATGCTTTCTGGGTCTGGGATCCTCACCCCGCTGAAGAACTGGTTCGTGCTGAAGACTTGCTGGTGCCTTGGAATGAGATCCCCTTTGAACAGGAAGGAAAGGAGAGGCTCTGTCAGAGTTCATCATGGCCACTGCCGACGGGAGCAGCGGAGAGAGCTAGTTTGGTGTAGAGGTTAGAAGCACAGACTCTAATCTGGGAGAACCGGGTTTGTTTCCCCTCGCCTCCATGTGCAGCGGCTGGTGTGACCTTGGGTCAGTCACAAGTTCTCTCAGAGCTGTTCTCTCAGGAGCAGCACTCGAAAGAGCTCTCTCGGCCCCACCTCCCTCACACAGGGTGTCTATTGTGGGGAGGGGAAGGGGAAGGAGTTTGTAAGCCGCTCTGAGACACCGAGTGAAGGACAGGGTATAGATCCAATCTCTTCTTCTTCTTTTACCTCACAGGGTGTCTGTCGTAGGGAGGGGAAGGGAAAGGAGTTTGTGAGCTGCTCTGAGACTCCTTTGGGTAGTGAAGGGCGGGGTATAAATCCAATCTCTTCTTCTTTTACCTCACAGGGTGTTTATTGTGGGGAGGGGAAGGGAAAGGAGTTTGTAAGGCGCTCTGAGACTCCTTTGGGTAGTGAAGGGCGGGGTATAAATCCAATCTCTTCTTCTTTTACCTCACAGGGTGTCTGTTGTGGGGAGGGGAAGGGAAAGGAGTTTGTGAGCCGCTCTGAGACTCCCTTAGGTAGTGAAGGGCGGGATACAAATCCAATCTCTTCTTCTTCTTTTACCTGACAGGGTGTCTGTTGTGGGGAGGGGAAGGAGATTGTAAGCCGCTCTGAGACACCTCTGGGTAGTGAAGGGCCATGGGGTATAAATCCAATCTCTCCTCTTCTCCTTCCTCCCATGGGGGATTTTGGAGGGGGATGAGCAGCGTGTCTGCACAGAAGTGTGTGTGTGTGGGGTACCTAGACAAACAGGAGCTGGGTGGAGGGATGGCAGGCCCTCATCCCAACAACCAATTTGTTTCTCAAGATTTCAAATAATAATTTCAATAATTATTTTGCCTAGCAATATACATTTCCTAATGGTGGCCATTTTAGTTTTGCCACAAAACGCTGCCCGCTGGTTCTTCTATGTGACACAAAAGCCGGTTTGGGCTATCTTACCAGATGCCCACCTTCGGCTCGACGGTGGCATCTGTGACCCACCAATGCACACGTGGCCCACTGGCCTACACTGGGGGCAAAACCCGAGGCCCAGTCGCCAGTGGAAGCCAGTTTGGCGTAGTGGTTAGAAGCGCGGATTCTAATCTGGGAGAACCGAGTTTGATTCCCCACTCTTCCACGTGCAGCCTGCTGGGTGACCTTGGGCCAGTCACAAGTTCTCTCTGAGCTGTTCTTTCAGGAGCAGTGCTCTCAGAGCTCTCTCGGCCCTACCTACCTCACAGGGGTGTCTGTTGTGGGGAGGGGAAGGGAAAGGAGATTGTAAGCCCCTCTGAGACTCCAAGTGAAATATATAAATCCAATCTCTTCTTCTTCCTATAGCAGCCCTCTGGAGAAAATGGCTGCTTTGGAGTGTGGACTCTCTGGCACTGTACCCTGCTGAGCCCCTTCCTTCCCTAAACCCCACCCTCGCTAAGGCTCCACCTCCAAACCTCCAGGAATTTCCCAACCCAAAGATGGCAACCCAACCCTTTCCCCCAGTGTTTCCGAGCTGCCCTATGGACAGGCAAACTTACCCAAAGTCCTTCTGATCAGGTAAAGCTGGTCCACGTCGGACTTCCCCGGCCACAGCGGGATGCCTGACAGCAACTCGGCAAAGACGCAACCAATGGCCCAGACGTCCACGGGTGGGCCATACTGGGTGTCGCCCACGAGGAGCTCTGGAGAACGGTACCATCTGGTAGCCACGTAGTCCGTGTAATAGTCACTGGGCCCGGCTGGGTATAGGTGAGGAAGGGAATGCAGAAAGAGAAGGGGAAATTAGGAATGCGAACTGAATCACCTCATCAACCCATCCTCAGCAGCGACAGGCAGTACTTGCCACTTTAGGGCATGTCCTGGTAACATCTAGACTACTGCAATGTGCTCCACATGGGGATTCCCTTGAAGACTGTCTGGAAGCGGCAGTTGGTACAGAACGCTGTGGCCTGGGCGTTGACTGGACTGGGTCACAGGGGCCGTATTCCTCCAGTCTTCTTCCATCTTGAATGGCTCCCTATTTGCATCCAGGCCCAATTCAAGTTGCTGGTATTGGCCTTTAAAGCCCCATACTTGGGGTCAACATACCTTAAGGGCCCCCTCCTCCCATATGAACATGCCATCTACTCCAGCCATCTTTGGAGGCCCACGTTTGGGTGTCCCTGGCTTCTAAGGCTAGATGGGTGGCAAACTTGGAAAGGGCCTTCTTGGTGTTGGCACCCAATTATGGAATTCCTTCCCTGTGGCGATTCATACGCTTCTCAATCATTGTCTTCTGCCAGCGGGTGAAGACTTTTCTCTTTCAGCTGCTGTACCCTTACTGACCCTCCTTGTTTGTTTTTAATTACTGGCTTTATTTATATCTACTATTTTTAAAAGCTGGTTTTTCATTGTGCAACGCCTTGAGGGCCCAAACCTGGCAGAAAGGCAGCCTACAAAAGTCTGAAATAAATAAATGCCAGGAATAGTCAAGGCCAGCACCCTGAGTTTTCAGCTTCCATTAAAACCCAACAATCTCCAGCCTTTTTGCTGACAGAGTAAGAAAGCAAAAGGCAGAGGCTGTATTTCAACCCAACTGGGCAACAAAAAACAAACCCGCTCCCATCTAGGAATAGGTTTGTGCTTCCAAAGAGGGGGGGGGGGGGGGAGTTGAAGAGCAAAGTCTGAGTCTACTGGCACCTAAAAGACCAACAAAGTTTCATTCAAGGTATAAACGTTCGTGTGCGTGCACACTTCCTCAGATACACTGAAGTGGAAGCTACTGGTCCATACATATAGGTCAGATAGTGAGCAGCAAATCAGCACACAGCATATTAAAGTTGTTTGACAGATGCAAGGACCAGACTGGAATAACAAGCTTAGTTTATATGATCACCATTTCTTTGGGAATACGGCTGCGTCGGAGGGTGAGCTCTGAGGCCCCTCCCCTCCCCCAAACCCCTCCCCTCCCAGGCCCCGCCCCTAAAATCTCCAGGTATTTCCCAACCCAGAGCTGAAAACCTTCACACTGAGCATGAAGCACAGACATCCACAGAAACCATACAACACAAGCTAGGCAGGCCCCAAAACTGTCCAATGCAATTACTCTGGAGGCCACAATATTCAGGAGGACACAACCAGGGCTATTTTGGGGCTGGAATGCACAGGAACGGAGTTCCGGCTGCCTCCCGAGTTGGCCACGCCCAGCAGGAACTCATTAGCATAATAGGCCACACCCGACAGCAGAAACTCGTTAGGATTGGCTACATTAGGGGGTGTGGCCTAACATGCAAAGGAGTTCCTGTTCCAAAAAAAGCCCAGGGTTTGGACCACAAACAGAATAAGAAGCAAAAGGTGGGTGTGGCTGGATGAGCACACTTCTGGTAACATGGGGGTGTGTGGCCTAATATGCCAATAAGCTGTGCTATCAGGGGTGTGGCCTACTATGCTAATGGGTTCCTGCTGTTGGGTGTGGCCTGTTATGCTAATGAGTTCCTGCTGGCCTTTTTCTACAAAAAAAGCCCTGGACACAACCACCAGATAACGTCTAGCCTACACACCACGGACACTCCCGGTACTTACTCAAGATCCGGGCAAATCCGAAATCACAGAGTTTAATGACAAAGTACTTGGTTATCAGGATGTTCTCCGGCTTCACATCTCTGTGTATGCACTAGACACAAAGAAAAGAGGCATCAGTGGGATGAGCGAACAGAACTAATTTTATTTCTGTCAGGGAGAGCCGGCAGTGCAGCCTAGACGCTGGATCTGGGACTTAGGGCAATTGCTATTCCATTAGAAAAGTAGAAAAGACATATCTAAACCTGTGAATTTCCTCTCTCTATATATATACAGTAATTTATCTAAGTAGAGCCATATGCATTTCTCAAATCCAGTCCAATATTACCATTTTTTAAAGCAATTCCTGCAGGAAATCCAGAATACGTCAAAGGGCAGCCAACAGTGTACAAAAATGTGCTGTATTTGTGATTTTTAAGATGGATGTCAACATCAGAAGAGCCCTGCTGGATCAGACCAATACTCCATCTAGTCCAGCATTCAGTCCCACACAGTGGCCAACCAGTTCCTCTGGAGGGCCGATAACAGGGTATGGGGGCCGAGGGCTTCGTTAGAACATCAGAAGAGCCCTGCTGGGTCAGACCAAAGGTCCATCTAGTCCAGCATCCTGTCTCACACAAGAGTGGCCAACCAGTTCCTCTGGAGGGCCAACAACAGGAAGAGGAGGAGGAGATTGGATTTCTACCCCGCCCTTCACTACCTGAAGGAGTCTCAGAGCGGCTTACAATCTCCTTTTCCTTCCCCTCCCCACAGCAGACACCCTGTGAGGGAGGTGGGGCTCTCTCGAGGACTGCCCTTGAGAGAACAGCTCTGAAAGAACTTATGACTGACCCAAGGTCAACAGGGCACAGAGGCCAAGGCCTTCCACTGACGTTGCCTCCTGGCACTGAGATTCAGAGGTTGACTGCCTTTGGACATGGAGGAACTGGCTTCAGCATGGAGATTTTGCCGTTATCATCACGACCCACAGCTTTCAAAATGAGATCAAAGGCTATTTACCATGAAGGCCAAATGGAGCATATCTCTCAATGCCAGTTGCTGGGGCGGGGGCAAACAACATGGAGCGGTTTTAGCCTCTGCTCCCTGTTTCTTCTGCAGACATCTCTTTGGCCACCGTGTGAAACTGGATACCGGACTTCACGGACCTTCGATCCGGTCCAATTAACGGCTAAACATTGAACTCTGAACAAGGCAATGTCAGCAAGCTGCCAATGTGTTTTCCTATTCTCTATGTATGCGTTTGTCTGCTTTCACTTTCCCATGTATGCCTGTTTATGCGCTTAATTGCCTAGTTGCAGGAACGTCCGTATCTTTCAAGGCCACAGGTGGTTGCTGGCGGGTAGTAGCTTCGGTGATCTCATGGTACTATCCATGAGAAGCAAATGTGTTATGATTATCTAGAAGCGCTGCTTCCCGGGCTCAATGGCGCGTGCGGGAAGTCCCGCAATTGGGCCTCAGCTTTTTGAATGTACTATAATCTTTTGGGATACATGCTTTTGCCTCATTCTGAACAGTGATCCTGTTATGCACCTATCGCTTCAAATAAAGTAAAACCTTTTCTACAAGTGTGTACTTCGTTGATGCGATGGGAGTCTGGCAGGCAATCACAATAACTCCTTCCACTTGCGCAGGCTCCTTACCAACTCCCTTCAGAGAACTTCTTCCCTCACGATGGGTGAGCTTGAATTCCCATATTGTTTCGCTTTTGGCTTCAAACTTATCTTTCCTGTAGCCAGGGCTCTAGTCGGGGGGGAGCTCTCAGGTACGGAGCTCCGGAAGAGAACCTCTAGGGGGCGGGGCGGTCACGTGGTGAAGCCCCGCCCCCTTCTTTACCCCGCCCTCTGCTTCGATCCTCATTCCGTTTGGGAATGAGGATGAAGCAGGAGGGTAAGTAGCCAGGCCTTCTGACACACTTCCGGTGATGTCAGGGGGTGTGGCCTTCTGTCACTTCCGGTGATGTCAGGGGGCGTGGCATATGCAAATAAGTTATGCTAATGAGTTATGCTAATGAGCTCCGGCAGCTCTTTTTCTACAACAAGACCCCTGCCTGTAACCAAAGATGTCAGGTGCTACTCGCTGGGAGGAGAAGACGGTGTTCTGGCTCAGAAGGCGTTTGGAGTTTGCTTTCTGATGCAGAGTCCTTGAAAACGAATCTTACAGCCTCCGTATCTATTTTTTAAAATTTACTTTACAAGATTCATACCCGGCCTTTCTGCCCTCATAAGAGCCACCAAAGGAGCTGACAAATTAAAACATGCATAATAAAATCACACTGTAAGAAACCCCTCCACATTCAGAGCCACTAGGACGCACATTCAGAGCTAGGAAGCAACATCAGGGGAAGGCCTTGGCCTCTATGACCACTTCCTCTGGAGGGCCAACAACAGGGCAGAGAGGCTGAGGCCTTCCCCTGAGAAGAACGTCAGAAGAGCCCTGCTGGGCCAGACCAGGGAGGGTCCATCCAGTCCAGCCTCCCATCTCACACAGTGGCCAGCCAGTTCCTCTAGGGGGCCAACAACAGAGCCTAGAGGCCAAGGTCTTCATAAGAACATAGGAGGAGCCCTGCTGTAACCATCACTTCCCCCCCAAAAAAAACAACCCACTCCAGGCCGGCGAACGGAGCCGGTAGGCTCCGTCCGCTGGCTTCCCCCACCCCCAACCACCCACTCCAGGCCGGCGAACGGAGCCGGTAGGCTCTGTCTGCCGGGTTTCCCCCCCCCCCCCCCACCCCCCCCACACCCCCAGACAGCCGGCCGGTGGGGGCCAACAACAGAGCCTAGAGGCCAAGGTCTTCATAAGAACATAGGAGGAGCCCTGCTGTAACCATCACTTCCCCCCCAAAAAAAACAACCCACTCCAGGCCGGCGAACGGAG